TAACAGCTAGATTAAAAAGGAAGCATTAACTTGAAAGGAAAAACAATCAAATGGATTAATGACATCTAAATACTTACAATAGCAGCTAAAGACAGTAGAATGGCAACTCAAAGAGGATAAAATTAAATGTGTACCAACTTAGAATTTTAGACCTAGCAAAATTATCCTTCAAGATAGAAGGCCAAATAAAGACATTTCCAAGGAAGAGGAAGAAATATGTGAGATAATTTTCCACCCATGAACCCATCATAAAAGAAATACAAAGGAATATGTTCAGGCAGTAAGAATATGTAAGCAAACAAATCACTATAAGACAGGAAGAAATGAGCAAAAATTAAATGGCAAACATGCAGGCAAGTATGACTAAATATCGATGGGAAGAAATAATTATGATATTTTTAAGGTGCTTAAATATATACTGTAATGAAAGGTATGGAAACAGTAACAGAAAAAGCAGGCAAGTTGTATTTTTGAGGTTTTATTATTTTCTGGAAGGTAGTAAATGTACTATGGTAGACGATGATAAATTAAGGATGCATTTTGAAATCACTAAATGCATCCTTGTTTTATCATCCTCTAACATAGTACATCACTAAGTCATTTATATGACAGTGATTTCAAGGGTGCATTTTGAAATCATTAAGTCATACACAATTAGTCCGATATACTAGCCACTAGTTGTGTATCACTGGTGAGTACTTATGCTTACCAATATACTAGCAACTAACAATGTACAACTGTTAAAATATGACTAGACCAAATTGGGATGTGCTATAAGTATAAAATAATGTAAAATATCTTATTAATGATTTTATACTGATTATAAGTCACTGCAATAGTATTTTAGGAGTATTGTGTTAAATAAAATTTATTGTTAAAATTTATTTTTTTCTTTACTTTTTTAATGTGATTATTAGAAAATTTTAAATTACATAGATGACTTGCCTTATCTTTTTTTTCCTTTTTTTTTTGAGATAGGATCTACTCTGTCACTTAGGCTGGAGTGCAGTGATGCTATCATGGCTCACTGTAGCCTCAACCTCCTGGGCTTAAGTGATACTCCCAGTTTAGCCTTCTGAGTAGCTGGGACAACAGACACACAGTAGAGACAGGGTTTAGCCATGTTGCCCAGGCTGATCTCAAACACCTGGGCTCAAACAATACTCCTGCCTCAGACTCCCAAAGTGCTGGAATTATATGCATGCCACACCTGGCAAAGGTGGCTTAACTTATATTTCTATTTGACAGTGCTGCTTCAAGGTGATTACGAAAGGAATGATTAAAATGTGTAATTAATATGTTAAATGTAAGTTAGAATAGAAATAGCATATCATATAATATATATACAAAAGAAAAAACAAATTAGAGAAAACGGAATAAAAACATGATAAGTTGAATAGAAAATAAATGGTAAGATGGTAGATACAGATAAATCAGTAATTATATAAAGTGTAAGTGTATTAAATAATCAATTTCAAAACAAAAGAAATATGTATGGATAACAATGTGAAATCCAAACACATGGTAACCAGCATAAACATATAAACATAGAAGTAAAAACATCATATTTCACAGATTAAAAAATGATGAAGAATCTGTACGCTACAAATAATAATCAAAAGAAGGCAAGAGTAGTCATATTAATGTTAGATAAGAAGTCACTAAATATAACTAGTAATAAGAAGTGACTTCAAAATAATGAGGTCAATTAGCAGAAAAACAAAAATGATAAGTTGTATGCATTAATTACACAATTTTAAAATATATTAATAAATGTGACAGAAATAAAAAATAAATGTTCAATTGAGAATGCAACAGTACTATTTCCATAACTGATAGCAAAACAAATACAAAATCAATAAGCATATAGAGCTGGAAAACATAATTTAATGATAGAATTGCAAATTACATATATAAAGGAATATATGTGTGTGTGTTTGTGTGTGTGTGTGTTTCTCTCAATATGGAACATTTTGAAAAATCTGATTATAACTGTTAAGCTACAAAAGATTATTTTAAAAATTTCAAAATTGAAACTTATTTCCGGATAGGTTCTTTGAACTTAATCCAGCTAAACTAGAAATAAATAATACAAAGATGATAAAGATGCTAAAATGTGTATTTTTTACATACATACAGCTCAAAGAATAAACCATATTGGAAATTTGAAAATATGTTGATCCTTAAATGATAGCAGAAAGAAGACATAAAAAATTTTGAGATACAGCCAAAGCTTTACTTAGAGGGAAGTTTGAGTCTTAAATATCTATTAGAAAACAAACTCTAAAGAAATTAAAAATGACTTATTTCAAGTAGATTAAAAAGACTATAAAGAAATCACCAAAATTATAGGAAAAGTAAATGATAATCAGGAAATCAAATAAGTATTAAATGATGAATGAATTTCCTGAAAAGCAGACTCTGTGGTAGAAATTAGCACACATGTCTTCTTCTATAGTGATGGGAAGGGAAGGAAGCAGAATTGGGTAGACAGAGACTTAAACAATGATACAGTATCAATAGAGTACTGAAACTTAGATTACTCATCAGATTTGGTAAAAGGGCAAGGCCTTTATTGATTAGTCTCCAAATTGCTGAACACAAAGCATCCAGGAAGTAGCTTCAGTTTATAGTTTAAATGATTCTTGCTCTTTCTCCCTCATGGAAGTGTCCTTCCTTTAGGAATCAGGACCTTCAAGCTTACAGATCCCAAAGCAGTGGAAATGGTCAGCATAAATTCTTTAAGTAGATACTTAGAATCCATGAAAAGCAGGATCAGTCTAGCTTCCATCTATTAGTTTTGAGGCCCATGTATTCCATCTGTTAGGGACAAAGCCCAATACAAAAGTCATTAATTTAAACTTTACACTGTATCCTGTAGTATGGCACCTTATCCTTACCAAGTAAGGTCTTGAAAACAGGTGCTTCAGCTGTGTGTGCAGGACTGCTCCATTACTCTATGAATCTAACGGCATATGAAACTCTCAGAGGATCCCATGAGCATGTGCCCACTTTGGCACCTTTCTGTGTGTAGTGACTCTTTTGGCTGGTATAGTATTCAGTTGGATCCAAAGACAATCCTTCAAAAGAAATGCTGACTGAGACTCAGCGGTCATAAAAGAAACTCACAACAGAATCTGTTCTTACTAAACAAAATCACTTGTCTTCCAAGATAGAAGGGGTCCTATTAACTCAACTTGCCACTGAGTAGCTGGTTGTTTTTTCCATATAGATTGGTCATATTAGTGATTCCATATTGACTTATCTTGCAGGCAGGTTGAATTCTGAGCCATGGCAGTAGCTAGATCACCTTTGATGGTAGTGGGAGTACAGCTATTGGGCCCATTTATGGCCTTCATCCATAAGTTGCATGGCTATGATGTTCATGTGTCCACTGTGCCAGCATTCATTGTAGCCTACAAGAGAGGGTGGCTAAGGTCGACTAGTACAATCATTTTTTCCATTGTTTAATGTATTTCCTGCCCCCCCTGGAGAATTCTCTCTATTGGGATTAACATATTCATTTTGTATATGAAAAATATTTATACTTTGTTTTCATTCTCACATGTTCACAAGCCAATAATCAAAATCAATTCATATTAAAAGGAGGATGGTTGCATCTGTACTGAACATGTACAGACTCTTTCCTGTCATTATTCCCTAAACAATGCAATATAATACCTATTTATATAGTGCTTACATTGTATTAGGCATTACACATAATCTAGAGATGATTCAAGGTATCTGGGGAGATGTGTGTTGCTTAAATGAAAATAGGACACCATTTTACATAAGTGACTTGAGCATCAGTCGGTTTTGGTAAATGCAGGAGTAGGGGTTGTGGGGATGTTCTGGAAGCAATCCCTCATGGATACCTAGGGACAACTGTATTTGTTTCTTTTGTACGGGAGTATAGTAACTCTATGAGGGTACCATAATACTTTTAGAGTGTTGGATATATCCTCTATCTTGTTCTGGTACTGATTACGTGAATGTGAAATTCCATTGAACTACATATATAATTTTCCATATTCTTTATTTCTATTGTTTTGATTAAAGAATTATTTACAAAAATATTGGAAGGATACATCCTTAACATGAAACAAGCATGATTATTGTCAAAATGATATTGTGCTAGTGATGGTTCCAATAACCCAGGGAACAACAACAAAAAATCCCCTTTTTCACTACCAGTGTTTAATAATTTTATGGAAGTTCTATATGATGCAATATGTTAAGAAAAATAAATTAATGGTGTAACTTTTAAGAGATGATTTCAAAATTGTCATTATATATAAGTAACATGTTTGACAATTTGAAAAACTAAGAGCTTTCACTACAAATTATCACACAATAGAAATAGAGAGGTTTGCTTATGTAAAAAATATATGTACATAATGTCCTTTCTTAGTTACATTAACCTGTTAGAACATAAGGTAGAAAAATAAACATGTTAATAATAGTTATAAGATTCAATTTATGCCTGATATTTAAGAGTAATTATTGTAATTATTGTTTCCTTTCACTATTAAATTTTGATGGTTTGAATAGCAATCATGTGCCTACATTAATAATAAGCAATAATAAATATAAGTAGGCCTAATGAGAGATGTAAGATAAGTGCAAAAAAACTACCAAAATAATGAATATAGGGAGGCAAATACCAAGATTAAATACTAAGAATATTAACTCTCTATATAATACAGTTTATAAAATTATATAATTCCATTCAAAATATCAATGGGTATTTTTGAACAGTTAAAAATATTTTAAAGACCATCTTGAAAATTATTGATTATAAGATTCTGTAAATTCTGAAGAGAAAAGACTAGTGAGAGGTGGTTTGTATTGGTTAATATTGAGTTGGTATTAGAATGCCAGAGTCATTAAAATTAGTATGCATAAAAACTGACTGACAAATAGTATCACAAAGAAAGCAGAAAAATAGATCTGACCACATTGATATATAGAATGTGAAACAATTTATATAAAGTCAATACTGAAAGTTAGATGTATTTGGGGAAAAGATTAATTCTGAATGGTTAAATAGTTAAAACTGAAAAGGAGGGACAACCATAAAATGTCTAAAGGAAAATAAATGCTTGGGTTTCAGAGAAAATATAGTATGTAAAAAAGAAAAATCATACAGCCACATTGATATTTTCTATAAAAATTAAAATTGATATATACTATAAAGTTATCAATATTAACATCGGAAACTTAAAATCATAAAGTGTTTGCAATGTTTAATAGCATCGTTATATAATATAACAATTAGTAACAAAATAGATGAATAAACTAATAAAAATAGCCAAAATGTATGTACAGGTTATTATTAATAATTAGAATTATTAGTCATTAATAATGACAAAACCACCTAGTTAAATTGTCCTTTATGAAATTCAAAGAGATACACATTAACAAAATGAGAGTCTCTAGTTAGTCTACACTCTTTAACTTTTAATAGGTTAATCCATGAATCTATGCAGTTCCTCTAGGATTTTTTAGTTTTTGAAGTGAATTTTAAAAATTATTTTGACAGATCAGTTACATCCCTTGTTCCCATTTTTGAAATTACCATCTAAGGGTGAACTTGGCCTTTTGTGGACTAATCAAGAATAACAATTTAGAACCAATGATATCTAGTACAGGCGTATGTCACTTAATGATGGGGATATGTTCTGAGAAATGCATTGTTAGGAGATTTTCTCCTTGTATCAACATCATAGTAAAAATACAGCAGTACAATCTTTTGAGACCTCTGTTGCATATGCTAACCATTCTTGATCAAAATGTCATTATAGAGCACATGTCTATATCAGTAGAGTATTTTTATTCTTATGAAAGAATTTTAATAGTTAAAATTTTATTTTATTCTCGTGCTTTTTTTATTGCATTCCTATTTACAAATTTCATTCTTTCTGATCACACAATAAAGTTAAATATAAATGGAGTATGATTGCTATTTATTTTTTAGCCCTAGTTTATTTGCAAAATGCTGTATTTTATAAAGTATAGAAATTTGTTAATGTCAGGAAGTCATATATGCAAATAAAATAATTATGCTTAATTATAAATAGAATAATTACAGTACATAATGATCATGAATTTCATATCTCTAAAAATAGGCTTAAAATAGATGAAGCAAAAAAGCAAAGAATTTCAAGGAGTGACAGATTTCTTATAGTGTAAACATTTGCCACCTAATTCAGAATAAGAGGAATAATAAAAGAGAAAATTAGCGAAGATACAGAAAAATCGTGCAAAAATTAATAACCTTAGTGCAATTGATTTTTTATAAAGAACCTGCATAAAACAAATAAAGAATAACTATTATTGTAAAGCACATATAAAACTGACCACATATTCGGTCATAAGAAAATGTAATGAATGACAAAAACTAAAATTTTCCTCACCAAATTATCTAAAAAGAAAGTATTATAATTAGAAATAGTAATTAAAGTTGGTCAGTAAAATTCAATAAAGTTAGAATCCAAAGGTATACTTTTAATAACTTATGAATTAAAAATTCTAATCAAAATAACAAAATATTTAGACATGAACAACAGATTTGCAGGATAAAACTTTATTTTAGATGATATAGATAGCCTTAAATCCATTTATCAGAAGACAATTATAAAAAGAATAATAAAGTTTGAGACTTTTGCTTCAGAACATGGAAATAAGAACTGTATTTAACCTGTTATGCAAAATAACTATAAAACTCAACAAAATATATAAAGCAATAATTTTCAAACATTAGAATATAGGCAGACAAGACAGTGAGATATGAGGAAAAAGTAACAAATAATGTTAGCTGTATCATTACCCCAACTCAATGCTTGAAGAGCATTTCCAGGATGCAGAGCAGGGAGAAGAAAATAAATTCATTCCAAGTGTTAGCAGGGTTGAATTCAGGCATTTGGAGTCAAGATGATGAAAATTCACGGAAAAAGAGTACTAGAAAAAAGAAAATTGCACAGAATACAGAGCTCTAGAGATCTGCATAGGATTCCCCCAGAGTCTTCAGATGAGTACTGATGAATGCATGTAGGTGTGGAAACTAACACAGCTGGGCAAATTCCAATTAGAAAGAAGCCTGTGGAACAATCCTTACACAGGACCAGGATGAGTTGATGTTCTTATTAGTCAGAGTTTTTATTAGTCAGTGCCTAGTATAAAGGCTGTCTGAACTTACCTAAAAAATCTTAAAAACAAGACTTAAAAGAAACAAAATGTTTCAAAGTAATCTACCTGCATAATAGAACAAAGCCCAAAATTATTTAAAGAAATTAAGAAATTTAGTATTCAAAATATAAAATTGAGAAAGACTGACATCAAATAAAAAATAACCAGATAGGAAAAGAAGCATATAAATCCAAACCATAATGAGGAGAAAAATCAATCATTAGAACTAGAACAAGAAATAACAGACATTGGAGAATTCACAGAAAAGAACATTAAAAACAGATTATAAATATATACTATGCTCACAGTGATAAGGAAAACATGAGCTTGTTAAAGAGAGATATGGAACATATAAAAAGGAATCAAATCAAGCTGCTTGCAAAAAATAGACTACATAAAATGAAAAATACACTGAGCAGATTAAACACTCTGGAATAAAATATTAGTGATCTTGAAGACATGGCAAAAAGGAACAATATGGCAATAAATTGTGAGTAAATATCAAACATCTTAATATATGTGTCATTGGAGTTTCAAAAAAATAGAAGAGAAAAAGTTAAAGATATTTTAAGACATGTCCACAATTTTCCTTATTTGATAATATTCTAAAACCACAAACCAAGAAACCCAGTGAACTACAATTAGAAGAAATCTATACCAACGCATGTCAAAATAAAGTTGTATTAAACCAGTGATACAGAAAATCTTCAGAGAAGCCAAAGGTAGGGAAAAGCCCTATTATACAGAAGAAGAAAATAATAGTAATAAAAGGCCAGAACCAAATGGATTCACAGCTAAATTCTACCAGATACTGAAAGAAGAACTGGTACTAATTCTACTGAAACTCTTCCAAAAGATTAAGAAGAAAATCCTCACTAATTCATTCTGTGAATCCAGTATCACCTTGATACCAAAGCCAGGAAAGAACCCACCAAAAAAAGGAAACTGCAGGCCAATAACCATGGCAAATATAAATGCTACAGTCTTCAATAAAATACTGGCAAACTGAATCCAACAGGCATATGAAAAAGATAATTCACCATGATCCACTGGTTTTCATCCCAGTGATGCAAGGATGGTTCAACACATGCAAGTCAATAAATATGATTCACCACATAAACAGAATTAAAAAGAAAAAAACATATGATCATCTCAATAAACACAGAAAAAAATGATAAAATTCAGCATTCTATCATGATAAAAATCCTCAACCAACTAGGCATAGAAAGACCATATCTAAAAATAAACAAAAGCCATATATGACAAAACTGCAACCAGCATTACACTGAGTGAGGAAAAGTTGAAAGCATTCCTGTGCAGAACTGGAACAAGACAAGAATGCTCACTTTCACTGCTTCTATTTAGCAGAGTACTAGAAGTGCTAGCCAGAGCAATCAAGCAAGAGGAATAAAGAGCATCAGAGTGGAGAAGAGGAAGTCAAACTATTTCATCTATTGATGATGTAATGCCAAAAACCCTAAGGATCCTTGAAAAGACCCCTAGATTTGGTAAACGAACTCAGTGAAGTCTCATATTATGCAATCATTGTGCACAGATCAGTAACAATGTTATATATCAATAAGGACCAACTTGAAAGTGAAATAGAAAACTTGATTCTATTTACAATAGTTACAAAACAAAACCGCAGGAATACACTCATCTAAGAAGGTGAAACATCTGTACAGGAGCACTATAAAATACTATTAAAAGAAATCATAGATGACACAAATAAATGAAAAAACATCCAAAGCTCATGAATTAGAAAAAATCAATATTGTGAAAATAACCATGCTGCCCAAAACAATCTACAGATTCAATGGAATTCCTATCAAAATACCAATGTCATTTTTCATGTAACTAGAAAAAACAATCCAAAAACAAATATGAAACCAAAAACAAGACTGAATATCCAATGCAATCCTAAGCAAAAAGAACAAATCTGGAGGCATCACATTATCCAACTTCAAATCACATTACAAGGTTATACTAACCAAAACAGCATACTACTTGTATAAAATTACATGCATAGAATGATAGAATAGAACAGAGCATGCAGAAATAAAGCCACACACCTACAATCATCTGATCTTTCACAGAGTTGAGAAAAAACATGTCCTGAGAAAAAGACACCCTATTTAATGAATAGTGCTGGGAAAATTTGATAGCCATATGCAGAAGAATGGAACTGGATTTCTATCTTTCAGCATACACAAAAATTAACTCAAGGTGGATTGAAGACTTAAGTGTTAGATCTGAAGCCATAAAATTTCCAGAAGCAAACTTAGGAAAACTTTTTCTGGATGTTGGCCTGGGCAAAGAATTTATGACTAAGACCCCACAAGCAAATGCAACAACAACAACAACAGAATAAATGAGTCCACTGCACCTGGCCACAAAAATATTCTTAACAAAGTTTTAGCAAATTTCATTAACAAAATATATGAAGGTAATACACCTTGGTTTACACCTGGAATGCAAGGTTAGTTTGGCATTCTGAAATAAACCAATATTCACTACATTAAATGATAAAAAAGGAAAAACCATATGAGCATTGTCATATGTATAAATAAATCATTTAATAAAATTAAACATCAATTCTTTGACTAATAATTCACTGCAAATATAAGACAGAAGTGAACTTTCTTAACCTGTTAAAAAGCATATATTTAAAACTTGCAGCTAGCATCATACTTAATAGTGAAAACTGAATGTGTTCTTTCTAAGATCAGAGAAAACTGAGAGCGTTTCTTTCTACTTCTATTAAACATTGGACTGGAAGCTGAAGCTAGTTCAAAAAGACAGCAAAAATAAAAAAAGAAAATA